ACGGGGGTGGGGGGAGGGGAGGGACCACCTGAGGCCCCAGACCTGAGAGAAAGCTGGGGACCGCACTAATCCTAGCACACAACTCCCACCTCTCCTCCCAGCGAAGGAGCTGGACATCCAGTTCCTCCACAGGGCTTCAGACACTCCAGTCCTGGCAGGTGGCCTTCCCGTCCCCAGCTCTTCCAACTCCCATTTTGAGCTCCTTTGACCCACTACAGTGAGTGGGTTTCTTGTGAATTCTCTGAGCCATGAGATTTTGTTGTGCGGTGTGGCTGGACAGGAGGGCCTGCAGTACGCCAACTGTCTCCACGTGGCCCACATCCAGTGGGGCTTTGTCCGGGATGCCCAACAGCTGAAGCTCACACAGGGCAGCCAGATCTGTGTCCTTGCTGCTCTGGGCCCACTTGTTCAGTTAGCTACTGAGATAGGACTATCAAAATCTTGCTCAGTGCTCACTTTGGCAGCACATATACTAAAACCAGAACAATACCGAGAAGATCAGCACGGCCCCTTGGCCCCTTGTGTAAGGAAGACACTCAAATTCATGAAGTGTTCCTTTTTTTTTTCTTCTTTTTTTTAAGACAGAATTGCTAAGGGCTGGAGTGGTACAGTGTTTGCCTGGCACGGGTGAGGCACTGGGTTCCATCCTCAACACCACATAAAAATAAATAAAAATAAAACAAAGGCATTGTGTACATCTAAAACTAAAGAGAGAGAGAGAGAGAGAGAGAATTGCTAGACCAATGGCAACTAGAGATGACACTAGAAAATCTCTTCCACGACAGGATGGAGCCCAGTGAGAACCTGGGCACAGGTGTGATGGCCCTAAAGTCAATCAATGCACAACTTCCTGACACCTGTGCCCAGGCTCCAGCAGGGGAGTGGGCTTCAGTCTAGAGGCTTAGAGAGCCGGCTTTCTAACTGTGCCTCCTGGTGAGCGCATCTGCCAGCCCACAAACACTGCAAGCCACCTGGGAACCGCTGGCCCACTTAGCTCTGCAAGCCACCAGGTCATCATCACACTCACATGGCACTGACAGGACTCAGCCATCTACAAACAAGCTTCACACAAAAAATTCTATTTCTGTACTTAAGAAAACTGTTAAAGTCGGGCTGGGAGAATGAGAAGACGATGAATATCTCAGAAACAATTAGCAGAAAATATTTAACTAAAAATTTAAATTTATATTTGAACAGCATGGATTAGAACTATTAATTGATTTGCACATTAAATTTTCTTTATTTAGGGCTGGGGCTGTGGCTCAGTGGTATAGCACATGCCTAGCATGTGTGAGACACTGGGTTGGATTCTCAGAACCACATAAAAACAAGTAAATATGTAAATGTCCATAAATAACTAATAAAATATTTTTTTTAATTTCTCTATTTAAAATACAAAAAAAAAATTCTTGCTCAGATGGTGGGCTTATGAATTTCTCCTTGCAACTCCATCAGTTTGGTTGTAGCACACAACTTCTGGGAGTGATTTTGTGGGTTGCCTGCTCCCTGGGGATGTCTGTTGTCACTCAGTACATTTATCTTTGAACTCAGTGCTTCATCTTTGTTTACCCCAGCTTGCTCCTGCCCTGGGGCCTTTGACCAGCTGTCCCTGAATACAATGTACCTCCCCACATCCCCCCCTCCTCAAGGGTAGCGTCCAGTGCCCAGAGCCATCAGTAGACAGCCTGGGGACCAATGAGCCATCAGTAGACAGCCTGGGGACCAATGAGCACATGGACGCTGGGTACTTGGACTTCTGGCCTGTCTAGAGAGGGTACCTGCCCCTGCAGGGCCAGGCCAGGGACTGGGAGGCCACAGGGGATGGCATGGGGCCCAGGTCTTCATCTGCAGCCATGCATGCCTCAACAGGACCTGCCCCAACCTGAGGGACCCCAGAAGGTCTGGCCACTGAGCAGACCCCAGGGACCAGGGCTGGGCTGGCCAGGCCCAGCCACTGGCCCAGAGCTCTAGGCCTCCGCCCTCCCCAGTGCAGAGGGAAGGCTGTTATCAAACCCAGGTTCACCCCGTACAGTAAGTGAAAGCAGCCGTGCCTAGCTGTGCCCCAGACTTCAGCGACAGGCGTCTCCATATTGCCACAGACATACCCCAAACTGCCATACAGACCCCATGCAGGTCACACTGGCCACACCTTGGACAGAGAGAGACATGAGGACAGTGGCCATCACACCCTGAGGGGCTTGCTGCTCAGGTGTCCAGGCAGCAACTCTGCAGGGAAGAGCCAGGTGGTCGGAGGGGAGAGGGCCCGGCGTCCCACCCTAGGAAACACATGCGTGCACACACTCAGACGCCCTGGGGACTTCAGGCATCTGCCCACCACCCACCCTCAGTGCACACTCACACTGCCGGGCAGTGCCCTGCAGAACCGCACGAGCTGCCTCTGGGCTCGGACCTTGGCAGGACCTGCTCAGAAAACTGGCCTTGCTCCAGGGGCCCAGCACATCACCCAGGGCCTGCCCCAGCAGGTGCCACCCCCACCCTCCCAGGGCAGCGTGGGCATGGGGCCTAGCTCAGCCCTCCAAGCTCTCCCCCAGTCCCATGACCGCCAGTCAGCGTTGGAGGCCCAGGGAGCCACAGGGTCAGGAAGCAAGAGATGGGAGGTGGCACCCAAAGGTGGGACTGGCTGCCGGCCCCCAGAAGCTGTGAGAAGGCCAGGCTGGGCAGAGTGCTGGAAAGGAAGTTACAGCAGCATGTCCCCAAGCTGGCCCAAGGGTGTCCCTTCTGCCTGTCCCAGCCAGCCTGCACCTGCCTGCCACGAGGGACCACACACCCAGGGAATGTCTGGGTGGCAGGAGGGGTTTTGGAGGTGACGCCTGGGCTGAGCAAGAGCAGGACAGGGATTCTTCTGTGACATCTAACTGCCCTGCAGAGTTAAGTGGTCAGTAAATGCTGGTTGGTGGACTTTCTGGTTGGGCACCTGTTCATACCCTACAGTGTACTCTCAGGATTTAGTAAACTGTACTCTCATTTAAAAAAAAAAAAAAAAGAGTGGGGCAGGGGAGCAAGTGCCCCCCTGGGGGTGGCGACCACTGTCCAGTGTGGTCCAGGAGCTACCAGGGCCAGGGGCCATTGTCTGGCTTGGGGGGCAATGGCCAAGCACGTGTCTACCCTGTGATCAGTGGGAAGCCCCCGGAGTGACAGGACCCACCCCCGTCTTCAGGACTCGAGCATAATTAGTAAAGGTGGCCCCCACACACTGGAATCGTCCCTTCCTTTAAGGGCAGTCCTAACACACAGCAGGGTTGGCCCTCGAGGATGTCATGTGAGTGAGTGGCCCCGTGACACCAAGAGACACCAAGACTCAACTCCCCAAGGGGCCTGCAGCCAGCAGTTCAGGAGCAGAATGGGACTGAGGGTGGGTGGGGCCGAGAGCTTCTGCTTGGAAGAAGGCCTGGAGATGGACGACGGTTGGCTGGAGGGTGTCACGCACAAGCTTGGAGCACTGAGGTGCACTCTGGGAGGCTGAGAGGCTCAACCTGTAGGGCGGGAGCCGGAGACCGAGCAGGTTGTTGGAGGGAGGTGGCAAATCAAAGTTGGAGGGTTGGGTCCTGGGTGGGAAATGGGCCTGGAGGCACCAGACCCCCAAGGACACTGGCAGCCGATGTTTCATCCGGGTCTCCCCTGCAATGGAGACCATGGACCCCAGAGGTGGGACGGGATAGGTTCGGGTAGGATGGCCAGGGGTTTTTGCGGCTGGGGAGGAAGCAGCAGGGAGCCACAGAGCACCCTACACTTGGCTGACAGAGGAGGGACCCACACCCAGCGTGCCTGGCCGCAGGCTGCGGCAGCCAAACAGGGCAGAGGCCCAGAACAGGTAGTGAAGGCCGACTGGGAGGCACAGAGGAAGGGGGCTGTGGGCGCGACCCAGTGGCCACAGTGGGGCCTGGACTCTTCTGGGGACCTGAAGGGTGGAGGGACTTGGGGGTTCCATGGGTGGAGACCAAACTCACACAGGAATGGTACAGCCAAGTGAGCTGGGGGTGTGGTCCCTCGGGCCATGCGAGGTGGGGGCCCAGAACATGCCCACCCATCCCTCTGCTCAGGAGGGCCTGTTGGCCAAGGGAGCCAGGAATGTTCCAAACCCTCAGGGAGGGGTTCTCCCTGGGTAGAGGCTGAGGGATCTCCCAGGTGTGGGTACCATCTGGCAGAGGCACTGAGCAGCCCGAGTTACACCCTGGAGGTGATAGTCCAGGCAGCAGGGAGGCCTCCACACGGCCCTGGTCCCCAGGATGGGACAGGGCTCACCCGGCAGAGCAGTGGTTTTCAGGGGAGGGTCCCAGACCCCTGCCCTGACCTGGGGACCCAGCAGTACCCACTATCAGCAGCCCTCATGACAACTCCCCCAGACAGTGACCCCCCATCTGCTCAGTTCACTGCGCAAGTGAGACGCGGCTCTATGCCCAAGGCTGTGGGGTCCAAACGCCAAGCCCAGTGGGGAGGACAAGAGCCAGGGGGCACAGTCCAGAGCCAAGCACAGGGGCCCTCCATTGGCCCAGCAGGCTCCCTGACCTGGGCCTCCTCACTAACAGTGCTCAGCAGTGGCCGCTGTGGACGCCAAGCCTGGGCAGCAGCCTCGGCTCCAAGAGTGATGTCCATCAATGCTAATGGACGGGAGACTGGGTACTGGGCAGGGAGAGCTGTGGCCCACCAGGGTGGCAGGTGACCACAGCCTGCTGTCGGCCCCCTGCAGGGGCCAGGCACCCACAAAGCAGCTCCTACACCTGCACCTGCTCAGCTCTACGCTCTGAACCTGTGGGAGGTGATTCAGACGAGTGTCAGTGTCAGTCACCTCTACCAAATCTCCCTGGGGGGCAGGAATCAGGAAAATGTCCCAGGGGGCCTCCTCCACTGCTGCAGACACCCTCTCAGGGGCAAACCTCAGGTCAAGGCTGGCTTCACACATCGCAGGACAGACAGTGGGTCTGGTGCCTGCGGCCACCAGGCCCGCACCACCACCCAGGAGAGGAAGAGGTCATGGGCACTTACAGAGCAAACGCCTTTTATTGAATTCACAGCTGGGTGCAAATGTGCCACCAGGACCGCCTTCCCGTGGCCCTGGAGAGCCTGAGCGCAGAGGCCTCTGGGCCACAGGGAGCCCCGCAGTGCAGCTACCTGGCGGTCCAGGCTAGAGGCCAGCCAGCACCCAGTGGCACGCCCGGGCACAGGGCACCTGCGCACAGGCCCATGCCCCAGGAGCTCTGCCCCAGAAGGACACAGACCACCAGCCCCAGGGTCTCCAGCAAGCAAACCTCATGCCACGCTTCCCACGCTGGGCTCCTTATGAAAGGCCGGTTGCCCACACTGGGATCCACAGGCAGACGCGCATTTAATAGACTGCCCTTCTGAAAACTCATTTCAAAATAGAGAGCTCTCCCCGAATTGTAAAAGCCATAAAAATGCAAAATACTTCTTTAGGAAAAATTGAATCAAAATCACACCTCATGTTCAAAAGAGCACAAACCTATTTCGGCCATCACCTGGCGCACGGGCCCTGCCTGCCCAGATTCAGTTGTTCTCAATCTGTTCCAAGTCCAGGTCGCCACGGTCCAAGGGGAAAATGCCCTCCTCCCCAGCACTGTCCCAGTCACTGGGGTCCCCACTGCTCCCTCCCTCGCCTGTGCTGGCCACTGGCTCCCTGGAGGCCCAGGAGCTGGTGGGGCAGGGCCCGGGAACCCTGGGGCTGGAGCCTGGCGTGCTGGTGCCCACTGGGGCCTGCGAGCCACACGGGGAGGACTCGACTGTCTTCGCCTGGGCCTCGTCCTCGTTGTCGTCCTCGCAGTCCAGGGAGCAAAGGCTCTTGGAATTTTTTAAAGTCTGCAACAGAAAAGACACAGGCTGAAAGCACTCCCCGCAGGCCACAGGCTGGTTCCAGGGAGACAGCAGCATGGCTCCACCCACACCAGAGGCACAAGGCTGGTGGGTGCCTGGCACCTGACGAGCCTAGCTACCCAGGGGACTCGACAAGAGCTGCATCGGGAGCCCTAGTCTTGTACCCAGCAGACAGACCAGCAGGGAGGGTCCCATGTGTCCGTCCAACAGCATCCCCCACCCAGGGCACACTCTGCTCTTCTGCTCCCTTCACCTCTCAGCCATCTGGGCCTCACCAAGACAAGTATGAACCCGCACAGGACCTGACCGCTCACCTGGCTCACCACGGCTTGTCACCCAAGGCCCACCCACTTCCACCTGGTCTCCCACTTTCCTCCTCTCCTCATGGTTGGTCATTCTTCAAATATATGTCTATACAAATACTTCCCCTCTTAACATCCAAGACACACACAAGAGGCCACCAACCACCCTGTCCCAAGTGGGTGCCTCCCAGCCCTGTCCAGGTCCCCAGGCTGCCCAGGGCGGCAAAGCCTCAACCCTCTGCTGAGAGGCTTCGACACCTGCTAGCACCACAGCAGCTGTCCCCCTCCTCACTGGGCCCTGCTCAATTCAACCCCCAATCTGCACCCCATAGTCCCTGGACCATCCCCATGCCCAGCTAGGCTGTGTACTGGCCCCCAGCAACAGCCATGGACATTCCACCTCAAGACTGCACTATAGAAGCCACTTCTCGACATGAACAGGACTTGGTCCCAGTACCACTTCCCAGCCTGCAGCTCAGTCCAGTGATGGCTCCCTGGACCCACTGACCACCTCGGCCTCCACTGCAGCTCCACCTGCCCAGGTGTCGACTGCTCAGGGTCAGACTCATGCTGACTTCAGACATGTGCCATGTGGTTGGACACGGGGCACAGACCACAAGGACACACAGCCCTGGGCTGGAAGCCAAACTGGCACAGGACCTGACCAGCGCTACACAGCCCAGCACCCTCCCCACACCTCGATTTTCTAGAGGCTCTGGCTGCTCACAAGACAGCATCTGCTTCTGGGTAGAAACTCCCCAGACCCACTGGGAGGTGAGGGTAAAGGGAGGTGAGCACATCCTCCAGGGTGCTCCTGACGAGTCAGCGCCTGCAGGGACCTGCCCTGAGTCCAGCTCCCCCAGACCCAGCTCCCCCAGAACGAGCACCCCAGACCTAGCTCCTGTAAGGATGTGCCCCGAGACCCAGCTCCCCCGGACCCAGCTCCCCCGGACCCAGCTCCCCCAGACCCAGCTCCCCCAGACCCAGCTCCCCCAGACACAGCTCCCTCAGACACAGCTCCCCCGGACCCAGCGACACAGCTCCCCGGACCCAGCGACACAGCTCCCCCAGACCCAGCTCCCCCAGACCCAGCTCCCCCAGACCCAGCTCCCCCGGACCCAGCTCCCCCGGACCCAGCTCCCCCAGACCCAGCTCCCCCAGACCCAGCTCCCTCAGACACAGCTCCCCCGGACCCAGCGACACAGCTCCCCGGACCCAGCGACACAGCTCCCCCAGACCCAGCTCCCTCAGACCCAGCTCCCCCAGACACAGCTCCCCGGACCCAGCTCCCCCGACACAGCTCAACCGGACACAGCACCTAGAAGGACGCTTCCCAAGACACAGAGCTCCGTTTCCTGCTCTCATCACTCAACTATGAAAAGTGAGCATCTGAGGAGTTACACCCCAGAGAACCAAGTCCTCAAAGACAAACGCAGCCACGCTTGGGCACGAACAAGGGTGCATCACTACTTTTTCTCAAACCAAGGTGAGCTGGACCCCATGCCACCTCCACATGCAACCTCCACTGGCCGGAGCGCTTGTCCTGTCTCCCCCCGGCCCTATTGGTCAGTGGGGCCACACTGTTTGCTGTGCCAGCTTACAGGGACACTGCATTTCAGCCCTCAGTACAGACGCCAACCTGCTGGACTTGTGCATAAATCTGACAGACACACAGGAACCACTGCGGGGTCCTGTCACCTCTGTGACCCCAGCTGTGCAGCTTAGGCAGGAAACCAGCAGCCTCTGAGGACCTCCAGGTGTAGACAGGACAGGACGGCTGCTCCAGGAGACACGAACCTCACGCAGAGAGGACACTGAGGTTCCCGGGGAGACCACTGCACTGACACCGTCTTCACACCTGGCCTCGTCCCCAGGACTGTCCTCCACTTCCAAGCAGAGAAGCCTGACAGAGGCGTGGAAAAGCAAAGGCCAGATTCGGGTTCTAAGCAGCGCTGTCTCCAGAGCGCCTTTGGCCCTGGGCATGACACAGCCTGTGGGGACAGACTTGACTCCTGAGGCAGGCTGGCACGTGGTCAAGACTGTAGCACCATCATCAGGTGAGCTGGGGGAAGGAAGGGCGGCCTCCTAACACCATCCCAAGATCACTTCCACACATGTCCAGGCTGGGCTCACCACATCTGCACTGACCCACCTGCAGAGGCCCCAGCTTTGGCCAAACTAAGACGCTCAGGTTCACATTCTTGGGAAAGTACTAGCCCTGCCCACCATCCAAGGCTACTCAGGACCAATGCTAACTGTCCACAGGCCCAGCAGCCCCTCTGCAGGCCAGGGCTCTAGCCAGGGCCTAGCCCAGAAGAGTAAGCCACAGTGTGGCCAAGAAATAGCAAAGACATTGGGCAAATGCACAAGAGCCTCCCTCCATGGCCAAGAAGAGAAAGGCCAGGCTGTTCCAGGCCAGGGGCCTGCAGGCCTGCGCACATCCACACCAAGGGCCACGGTAGACATGGTCAGACAGGTGTGTCCACAGGCCTGTGCATGAGCACGCTACATGTATGTGATGAGGAAGCAGGTGTGGGAAGCACATGGACCCCTGGTCCCTGCCACCTCCGCTGGCACCTGCCCCAGCCTTGCCCGAGAGGAGCTACAGTCTCAGGAGTTTCTGGTAGAGGGTGGGGGCTGGGTGAGCACCTGCACCCCACATGCAGGCCTCTCCAGGCAGGGACTCCCGGGCCTCTATGGGACTCGAGCCTGAGGAGACTCCAGCCTACCCGATGCCACAGGAAGCCCAAGGCTGAGGGCCACACCCCATGCATCTCTGAGAGCAAACCCAAAGAGGGAGCAGGAAGTATGGCGGCCAGCAAAGACAGCCTGCCCAGCAAGACACAGGGTGTCGCAGAGACAAGATGCCCATCACTCAACAGAAAGAAAGATGGGAGAGAGAAGCAGGACACCAGTGACCTGAACCCAGGCCGCAGGGAGGGACGGCACCCACTCCTCATGGCAAGTCAGGGCTGGAGGAAGGAGTCGGATGAAGACAGGGATCGAGGTCCCTAGAAGCACAAGACAGTAGCTAGGGTGGACACCAGGATGGGGCCACATGCCCCTACCATGGCACTGGAGAGGCGGGAGAGCCAGGCCACAGCACTGCCGCAGGAGGCCTGCGGCCAGGATGGCGGGGAGCAGGCAGCTTCTCACCCCACTTCTGCTGCTGACCATGCTTGCAGGTACCCTGCACCGTCTGGGGACCTGAGGCCATGGTGGCCCTGCTCAGGGAGGCCCGCGCCCTGCTATGCCCACACTCTACCTTTGCCCACCTGGCACCCAGGAGCCGCCACACTCCCAGGGGCTCAACAGAGTGGGGGCCCGTGCACGCAGCCTAAGACACTGGCTCTGTCGTGACCCCGTGTGGCCCCAGGCAGCTCCCTCCACAGGGTGGCAATGGCCTCTGAGACAGCACTGGCTTGTCACCGTGTCCACCTTCACATGTGTTTATCCAACGTGAAGATTAAAGTCACAAGTGACTGACGGGACGTGGAGCAGGTCCTCAGGGCTGTCTGCTGGCTCAGCACTGGGGACAGTGCAGACAGAGAGCCCATCGGAAGGCCCGACTGCGGGAGACGACTTCGAGAGGGAGGCCAGCCCAAGACAGCCCTCTGCAGGGAGGCAGGGGAGGGCCAGCGGCAGCACCCCTCACCTGTGCACACGGCCTGGTGCAGTCCTGGGGAGAAGGTCCAGAACAGGCGCAGGGACAGAGGCAAGGGCACGCACGAGCCTCTGCTGGGGCCTGCAGGCCCAGCTCAGAACGCAGCTCCGCTACCCTGAGTGCTCAGGCTCAGCCCCACTGTGGTACCGCTGGGGGGCCAAGTCATGGGCAGAGCCCCCCAGGGGGAAGTACCCTGCAGAGGGCTCAGGGGAACCAGCCAAGGCCCACTGACCTCCGTCCCTATGCATGGGAGGAACAGGGTGGTCTCTCCATAGGAGGCACCAATGCTGGGCCTCTGGACACCCAGTTAGAGTCCAGCCTCCAGACCCAGGGAGCCTCCGCATCCTCATACACCCAGACACCAGACCGCTGTTCCTGCTGCTGTTTTTGGTGATGCTGGGGAGGGAACCAGAGCCCAGAACATGCTAAGTCCACGCTCCACCGCTGAGCTCATCCATAGCTGCCAAACTGCAGAATTCTGTCACAGCACACAGACTAAGAGGGTCTCTCTCTGGGGACAGCGAACTGTGGTAAGCTTTGAGGACTTCTGGCTTCAACAAGAAAGGCACCTGAGCGTCCCAGCACACGGCGTTCACGGGGGCTCAGCCTGCTTTCCTCCTGACTCTGAGGCCCAGGACACTGGTGACAGCTCACAAACCTTGATTCCCATGAGCACAACACCCCAGAGGCTTCGTCAGCCATGTCCAGCCCAGCTGGCCTTAGGTTCTCTGGATCCCACAATAATTACTGACCAGCTGCTAACTGCTATCTTGAAGGCTTCCAGGCCTAGATGAAAGGCCATCAGGGAGCAGTTTCCTTCTGCACCACAGACGGGAGTAGGTTCGACCCTGCAGGGGGCAGCATGTGCCACCCTGGAGATGCTCTGCAGCTCGGAGGGCGCGCCCTGTGGGAAGCCGGCCCCTGCTTGCCCACCACTGCAACTATCCACAACGTCCAGGGCAACTTCCACCTTGGACCATCGCCTGGCTGATGAAAACAAAACTATTTTCCTGTGAAAACAGAGTCCACGTGGGGCTCAGGGCAGGCAGTGTGTGTCTACCTGCTGCTGCCTAAAGCCCACCTTAACCCTGCCCAGTGCAGGCCCAGAGTGGAGGCTCTGGTTCCCTAGGCCAGGCCCTACCTCCTGCTGCAGAGGCCAGGGCCTTGGTGCAGGAACGTCCAGCTCTCCATGTCCAGGTCCTGGCTGAGCTCTCTGCCCATGGATACGGCAGTGGCCACCTCTAAAAATAGAGGCTTCTGGTTCCCCATCACGACCAACCCACTGTGGCCCTCACCAGACTCCAGCACACCCAGACTAGGGCTGAGCAGACAGCCCTCCCGACGCTCCTTCAGAAGACTGCCTGTCCTGTTGTGTGGACGCAGGCCCCAAAACCCAGTGACAGATGAGCGGGACGGCCACCAGCATCCAGAGAGGCTTCCTGGGGAGACTCCTGAGGCACAGACAAGGCTGGATGCAGGAACCACAGGTGTCCCTCAGAACCACCTCCGCCCACAAGTGACATCTCAGGGTCCAGGCTACTCCAGACTCACCCCGGTACCTGAAAACGCAGCACCAAGCATCCGGGTGAGCCACATGGCACGGCACCGGCATGCCTGCTCCTTACGTTGAACAGCTGCACTTCCTGCTGGGCAGGCTACTCCGGCACCAAGAGGGCTGTGAGGCAGCAGGCTAGACCAGCAGGTGGAGAGGCAGGCATGCGGGACTCTGCACCCAGGACAACCAGGCTGGCCGGGAGTGCTGCAGACAGGTCCCTCCAGCACAGGGCCTTGGCCACAACCTTCACAACAGCACACACCTCACTACTGACAGCATCAGGAGGAGAATTCACAAAGGTCAAGAGGGATCTGACCATGACATTACCCAAAAATGAGACCCTAATTAAAACAGACCCTTTATGACAAAGACACAACTTCCATAAAAAAATAAGTAGAAAATCCTAAAAGATGTGTAACCATTAAAGAAACAGAGCAGCGGCAGGTGCCCCAGGCCCAGATCGAACTCATGGGCGAGGCTTCAACTCAATCAGGAAATGTAGGCAAAGCGTCCTCAGGGCACTGCTCAGAAGGGCCACAGGCCCAGGCCAGGAGAGACTTCTGACCACCTGTGCAACCAGAGCAGAGAGCCCTGCGGAGACTGCTAGCACTTGACAGAAGACAGAGACGCAGGTCCAGAGGCCTGTGGGAGACTGGCCCCAGGAAAACAGGCTTGGTACCAGGACCCACAGCCACACCCAGAGGCCACAGGAAGCCGCGTACAGCTGTGGACAACGTGGAGGGCAGGGCTGCCCCAGGAGCACAGCCCATTGGAAGTAACCCAGCAGCCTCAGGGAGGTGGGGGGGGGGGGGCAGCGCAGGCACTCAGATGCAGCTTTCCAGAGCATGAAAGCCACAGCGAGGTGTGCAGAGCACAGCCCCACCCTCACACCTGAGGCACCTGGCCAGCCAGCCTTGCCTCTGGCCACGCCCTGCCCTGTGGGGCACCCCACTGTCCCACATCTATGGACACTCTGACCCAGCACCACCCTTGGTCATGCCCGACTTCTCTCTTTCCCAACGGGTGCGGAGTGTCTATGGTATCTCCAGAACGTGACTCTCACCTGGCCATCAACATGTCCCTGGCATGAGCTATGTCCACCCTGAAGGCACCCAGCCAATGGCTCCCCACTGGCAGCCCCTCCTCTGCCGTCCTCCTTCTACCCACAGGCCATGCCCACGAGCACCCTGGCTGGTGGAGGACAGTGCTGTGGGCCTGGAGCTCCTCCAGCTGTCCACAGGCGCCCCACCTGGCTCTCTGCAAAGTGAGTCTGGGTCTGACCCCCATCACCACCAGGAAGAGCCTTGCAGAGAACCGGCCGATCAAGTGGGCCTGGTCCAGAGCAGGCACATGGCAGGGCCCCATGGCGTCCCACACGGGACACCAGCCAGTTGGCCAAGAGCCTGAGGCCACTGTCCTGACTGTGCTCAGGACTCGGCAGACTGCACTCCAGCAGCTGCTTCCAGGATAGCCTGGGCACTACCCACCAACTGCCCACCACGTGCAGGGCCCAGACTTCACCCACAGCAAGGCCCCACAGCAACAGGAGCCAATGGCCTGAGGCCCTGGGATGGGCTGGGCAGTGGGCAGTCAGGGAACAGCCAGGGCCACGGGTCACTTAATGAGGCAGACACACCCTGCCACCCACCTTCCACCTTGTGCAGCCCCAGGACCCGACACAGCCAACCAGCTGTAAGCAGGGCCCGCAGCTCCATCCAGGTCTAGCCTCCTTCCACCTGAGGCAGGGAGACGGACATGCCTCCCAGCACACTCCAGAGGCCCCTCTCAGTCCTCCCCTTCTGGACTGCGCCACAGGCAACGGCTGTGGGCATCGCCAAAGGCCAGGGTGCTGGCACCCACTGTAAGGATCTCCAGGCTGCGCCAGGTTTTCTTCCAGACCACAACACAAAAATGGCTCCCTCTAAATGGACTTTCCCAGGGCTAGAACTGTGGCTCAATAGCAGAGCTCTAGCCTAGCATGTGTGAGGCACTGCGTTCGATCCTCAGCACCTCATAAAAATAAATAAATAAAATAAAGTCATTCTGTCTATCTACAGCTACAAAAAATATTTAAAAAAAAAAAAAAAAAGGACTTTCCCAAGAGGTGGCAGGGACATCAGGGTCACGTGTGGGTGCTACCTGCCAGCTGCTACTAGACTGAGTCACCTACAGCCAGGCCAGTGGCCCCATCTCCCACTGACTCCCATGGGCCAAGGGGCCCAGGGTTTGGAGCAGCTCCCCAAGCTCTGCTGGGCTCCCGGGCTCACTTCCCGGGTGATGGCCACCCTTGAAGGTGCAGCAGGGTCCCCAGCAGACAGCCCACTGGGCTGGAGACGCACATGCACTCCTCCCGGCTTCCTCTGTCCCCAGGGCCAGTGTGCAGGCTCTGCCCCAGTGTGACTACAGGTGCTCTGAAGCAGAGACAGGGCCACCATCACTCACAGTTGGACTCCACTCCATGGGGGCTATGCTCCCTGCCCAGGTCATCCCACACAGCACACCGACTCAGAATGAGGTGCACTGAGCCTTGCACAAGGCTCCTTGCCCCTTGCAGAACCCCCAGGCACACCCCATCAGGGCCTAGGTTTCCTGAGCACCCAGGACTCTCGGTGAAGCTCACCCGTGTCATTTTTAGTAAGTCTAAGGACGGGCGCGTCCACCTGGCATCCTCCTCACGCCTCCGTTTGCGCCGGCTCCTCCTCCCGCTGAGCACGCATGGCTGTGAGCGGCACCGCAGCAGGCCATGACGCCGGCCCAGCTCGGGTGTGGATGTAGGGGTGCTGCTGGCTGAAGGCAGGCGGGTCCCCGCCTCTGCGAGGTGCTCCTGTGAGAGGGACAGGCGGCGCCTTGAGGAGAGCGGGCAGGGCCCTGTGGGACGCCAGGGCAGGCCCGAGCCTGAGCTGCCTTCACTGCTGTCCACGAAGCCGCTGCTGGCTGAAGCTGGCCGGGGCACCAGAGGCGAGACGGGGCCGGCAGGCGATGTGGGGCTCCTGGGCAGGCCTGCACCCGGGCTCCGCTGCAGGGCAGAGCTCCCAGTGCCGCAATGCTGCAGCGTGGCACTCCCGCCGCTGTTGCACCGCCTCTTGGAGACTGGCGTCCAGACCTTGGAGCCACCAGGGCGCCATGGGGACCGGCAGCGTGCTAGCTCCTCGGGCTCGGATAGAGATCGGCAGTGTCGCTTGGTCGGTGGTGCCGCCGGTGGCCCTGTGTTCTCACAGAGGTTCAGAGCACTGCCCACCCCCGGGCCTGTGCAGGAGCAGGGAGACTCCGGCCTCCACTGAAGACCCTCAGTGTGCGCCACGCCACAGGGGCCTGGCAGGAAGGGGCACACAGGCCCCGCGGCCGCCTGGCTCCCAGCAGGTCGTCCTGTGTGAAAAGCCTTCCAGGGGCTCTCGTCCACTGAGGAGACACAAAGGGTGGAGGAGAGACGGTGAGCAGGGGCTGGGGTCCGCAGCAATCCAGACACAGGCCAAGAGCCTGCCCCAGTTCTGCTCTGAGGGATGCAGCCACAGCAGAGGGACAAAAGGTGACACAAGGTGAGTACATGTTAGAGCAGAAGCCACCAGCCACTCAGGCAAGGCTGGCCCACCTGTGCTGACCACGGGCTCCAGGACAGTCTCCCTCCCTAAAGGCCAGCTGTGGGGCTAACTCACTCTGAGGAGACCACCTGGTCTCAGGAGGCCCTCAGAACACCCCTGGGGGCAAGCCCAGCTCTGTGCACACCCTGCGCCACCAAGCTGTCTCCCTCTGTCCCTGACAGCCTCACAGGCTGCGACCCCACAGAGCCACTTCTTAGAAACAGCCCCCAAGCTCAGAGGTCGCCTCCTTGGCTGAAGGACGAGCCTAGGAAGACGCAGGCACACCCCTGCATGGCCGTCCCCAACGACACAGCTACACAGTGCGCACCAGGGCAGATCGCAGTGACAGCCACAGCAACACCTGACTCACTTGCTCCTTCTCTAGGGGCCAAAGGATGCCATGGGGCAGCCTGGTACCTCCCAGGAAGGGCCAGACAGTCCCCTGACCCCCACCCACATTGCTGCCAGCAGAGAAGGCAGAGCCCTCGCTGAGCCCTGACCCTGGCCCATCCTCACAGACCACGCATGATCACTGGCCCAGCAAGGAAGACAGCAGCCAGCGACCTTCCCGGCCCACACAGAGGACACAGAGGATCCCCTGGGCCTCGCTCTGAAGCCCAGTCTCTCAGCTCCTAAGACTCCCCTGGGTCCCACCCTACTCCCTGTCAAGGCTTCTGAGACACTTACCACTGACCTCCAAAGGGAACAAATGGCCACTTTTGTTCAGTTTCTCAGCAGAATACTAAAAGTGATAAGAGAGAAGTTTCAGCACTGAGACTTACATATGAAAATTCAGAAAAAAGAAATTCTCCTAGTTGGCATGGTGGTGCACACTTGTAATCCCAGTGGCTCAGGAGGCTGAGGCAGGAGGGTCAAGTTCAAAGCCAGCCTCAGCAACTTAGCCAGGCCCTAAAGCAACTTAGGAAGACCCTATCTCTAAATAAAATGTAAAGAAGGGCTGAGGAGGTGGCTCAGTGGTTAAGTGCCCCTGAGTTCAATCCCCTGTACCAAAAAGAAAAAAAAAAAAGAAATACTCTAATGCATTCATCACTGCAATGAATCCTACTTCTCCCTAACACTTTATTTGGGGGTAAGGGTGATTAAAATGAAAAGCACTGGCTTCCAAACACACTTCTAAGAGACCGTGAGCGTGTGTATGTGCGTCCAGTGCTGGGGTGGAACCCAGGGCCCATGTATGTAAGGTAAGTGCTCCTCCGCTGAGCTACACCCCAGCCCTTTTTTATTTTTTTATTTTGAGAGAGGATCTTGCTAAGTTGCCGAGGCTGGCCTCCAACTTTCTATCTTCCTACTTCAGCCTGTGAGGAGCTAGGATTACAGGCGTGCACCACCACATCCAGCATTATTGAAAGTTTTTTTAAGCCAGGTGTGGTGGCGCACACCTGTAATTCCAGCAGCTCAGGAAGCTAAGGCAGGAGCCCGATCACAGGTTTGAGACCAGCTTCAGCAACTTAGCAAGGCCCTGTCTCAAATTTTTAAAAAATATAAAAGGCTGGGGCATAGCTCAGTGACAGAGCACCCAGGATTCAATCCCCAGCACCAAGAACCTGCCAACCTGAGGTAGATGAATGGGCAGTTTCACTCTGAGCCTCAGACACACCTCCTGTCACTGAGCCTGAAGCACCGGCTGCCTCTCCTCTGGCAGCTTGGGCTGCGTCTGTGCTCCAATCATTGCGGCTTCCTCTTCAGCAAGGAGCCCCAGAGCCAGGCTACAGCGGGTGCAGGGCCTCCCACTCCCTCAGGGAGGCAGCTCTAGGGGCCAGCACGAAGATGCCATGGCAAATGCCACATGGCCTTTCCCGTCACTGCACCCCATGATGTAGCAGGGACAGCACGGCTGCTGCACAGAAAAGGCACTAACGGTTGGTTCTGAGACCAAGAAAAAGACACCCATGGATAGCAGCTGCCCACATGCACAGCTGTGGGGGCTGGCATGGGCACAGGCACTAGTGACCTTCAGGATTCAGAAGCAGAGAAGCAACAGTTCTGCAGACCACCTGACACTGACAGCGCACACCCGAAGGCTCCCAGGCCCTGGTGCAAACCAGCACAGCTGTGCTACCGCCCAGGCCGGGGGCTCACTCTTCCAGGCCCTTCCACATGGCTGCAACCTCGTCTGTGGCTGGCAGTGCCTCATGGTCAGTGGCCCTTCCCCCCATCCCAGCACTCCCCCACAGCGAGTACAGGACAGCACAGAGCTCACCCTCCCAGGTCTGCATCCCCAGTGTATAAGGAAGTGGCCCCCAATCCACAGACTTGCAAGACAGGGCTCCCTCAGCCAGCTCGAATGGCTGCCACTGTGGCTGAGGACCGCAGGCCTGCACCTCCCAAGTGACCAACACACATGCGGGGCAGAACACGCTTCCAGCAGGTCCCCACACATACAGGCTGCATGGATGTGAGCTGAACTGGTAACCTCCACATCCACCCAGGCCAGTGGCATGATGGGACTTCCCAGAGCCCCATGTCCCTCCCCAGCACCAACCATGGCCAGCCACAGCCACTCTATGCCAATGTGAATGGTGACCCAGGCCAGCTGTATTCTCTGCTTCCATCTGGCCTCCCAGCCCTCCCTCCCTCTGCCCCAGGGCAGCTACCCTGACCCGAGTCCACAGTTTCCTACTACCACCAGTTTGTCAGCCAGCAAGGATCTCCCCGAGACCTGCACACAGCCCACCACCCACCACCTCCAGCCCCAGCCAGAGGCCATCGCCCTGGCAGCCCCCGACCACGCTGGCCACCCTCAGGGGCAGCAACATTTCTTTAAACACACTGCACAACTCACCCTTGCCCCTGCCCTCGTCTGCCACCCACAGGTGAGCACTTACACCCCAGCCCAGCATGGGAACAGGTACAGGTGTGGGAAGGCACCCAGCTCACTGAATGACCTCTACACGTGGAATTCAGTACCTGCTGCTATCTCCAGGCCTCTGGACACCCAAACACAAGCACTGTCCACTCTTTTCTCTCCCTGGCCCTGAGGGCCCTCATGGCCCCCGTTTCTGCCACAGCAACAGAAGGACCCTTACCACCTTTCAGTGCTCAGCCCCCATCATGCCCCCAGCCCCCAGCCCCCAGCACTGTTCCAGCAGTCAGTGAGGCCCCGCCACAACCCCCAGTGTCACCAGTCATCACTCCTATGGCCACTGGTCATCTGTGGGCCTTCAAGTAGTCAGCACCTCCTCTGGCCTGAAGCCACAGGCAAGGGAAGGAATCAAAACCCAAATCTCCCCAGAGGGCAAGGAACACCCTGCTAAGTGCCCCGGGAGCCGGTCAGGACCGCCACGTGCTGAAGAAGCTTCCAGAAGGCAGCGTCCAGTCCAGACTCACTCCTGCCATGAAGCTCCCCCACTGCACAAGGGGGCAAACCAGAGAGGAGGTGACTACAGGCCAGCTCTCAGAGCGCTGCGCAGAAGGAAAGCCAAGCCAGAGGCTACACGCTGCGTGGTGCCATTCGAGAATCACTGCCGACCAAGAGCAAGCAGGGATGCTGGAGGGCCCCAGGGAAGGGGGACGCACAGGGGAGTGGTGTGGCAGGAGAAGAGACGTGGGCAACCTCAAGGCACTTACTGGCCTACCTGGACAAGAGAAGGGCAGGGGAGGCTGGAGTAGCCCATCCTTTCCCTAGGCCTCTCTGCACAGCAGGACTAGCCTCCATTCCCCAGACAGAAGCAGAGCAGAAGGAATGGGTGGGGCTGGGGCTGGGGCTGGGGCTGGGGCTCAGGGCTGGGGCTCAGGGGTAGAGCACCTGCCTAGCACATAAAGACGAATACAATAAAAATACTGTGTCTGCACACAACTAAAAAAAAAAAAGAATTTTTTTTAAAAAGAAAGAAATGGGTGAGCCTGAGTCCTGGGTAAAAGGAGGCCTTGGGGACAAGGGGTGTAGCCCCAGGAGACTCAACAGAGAGCAGCGATGGAGGAGCCCACCTCACTGCATCCAGAGAGGACTCGGTCTGACGGGATGGACCAACCCTGCAGTCCTCTGTCACGACAGACACACTGCCCTCCCTGCCAGAGCCTCCGGGACTGGGTGAGGCCTCTGAAGTGCACCACACCCTGGCCAAGGCCAGGGATTTGGGGTCCTAAGCATTCAGCACAGGGAGGTGCTCAGGGTGGGCTGGGCTGGACAAGTGGCATGGGCACTGATGTCTGGGACTTCTAACTGCATTCAGATTATTTTAAATTTTAGTTTTAAAACTTATATCCAATTCTGTTACGAGAAAACTTGTGTTTTTTTCTGCAATGCCAAGGATTGAACGCAGGGCACCCTACCAACTGAGCCACTTTTGCAGGGAGGAGTACTGGGGATTAAACTCAAAGGAACTCCCAGCTACATCCCCGGCCATTTTTAATTTCAGAGAAGGTTTTTCTAGGTTGCTGAGGCTGGGCTTGAACCTGCAGCCACCCACCCTCAGCCTCCAGAGGTGCTGGGATCACAGAGGTGCACCAACACACCTAGCCCTGAGTATGTTTAGGCAGCCTGGGTGCGTGAACCTTCTTTTTTCAAGTGTAAGTTTTATGAAATCTAAATACCACCATCAACTATTTCTGTAACAAATATTTAGTTTCTGAGTTTTTAGTTGTTTTTTTTTTTTTTTTTACAATGAGACTTTTAAAGTGTCTGAGTTGAATTTGCTGTAGAATAAAATATACAAATTTCTCAAAAGATTTGGCTTTTAAAGAATAAGTTTTTGCCAGGTGTGGTGGAACACACCTGTCAACCCAGCACCTCAAGAGGCTAAGGCAGGAGGATCGAAGGTTCAAGGCCAGCCTCGGCAACTTAGTGAGGCCCCGGTTCAAAATAAAAAGGGCTGGGGTCTAGCGCAAGGGCACAGCACCCTATGTTCAATCTCCAGAACCAAACCAAACAAAAAACACCGTGTCTTCAGCGATGCCCTCAAGTGAGTGCAAAGTCAGCACCCTGGGCAGACGAAGCTCCACGACTGCCAGCAAGGGCCAGTACCCGGAACCCAAGAGGACATGCGTGAGTGACAGCCAACAGAGGAACAGCATGACCACCAGGGGACCCAGCTCAGAGGACGAGGAGCCCCACAGCGAGGCACCACCCACATCCACGAGGGCAGCTGTGCTCTCCCTGACAGCGACAGTTCTCCCAAGACGGGACGTGGCAGCTGCTGTGGGAGCACCTGGCGGGTCCTCGGGAAACTCCTCCAGCACACAAGGAACGCTCCCACAACGCCCGCAGGCCAGGCCCACGCCACAGGGAACCAGCCACAGTGGGCCAGTCCACGTCCACCCAGAGAGGGACAACACACAGGGTCTGCCAAGCACGGGCCCAGCCACGTGCCAGCCGGGATGGGGTGACAGGATGGAGACCCCCCCCAGGCAGGCCACCTGCACAGTGCCAACTCCAGGCTGGATGCTCAATCTAACCAGGGCAGTGGGTGTCCTCAGGGTGACATACAAAGTCCACTTACCTCATAGGTAGAAAACTACTCTGCCTACGCCAGGTTCAGACCAGACAAAACCCACGGTGATGAAATCGAGAGGTTCCCTCAGAGCACCTGACCAGGCCACATGTGCTGACCACCTGGACACAGACGTGCACAGGCCCCGACAACGCCAACAGGCCTGGGCCTGGATGCACACGGCGCCTCTGCTGCCCAGCCCACCAGGCCCCTCAGCTCTCGGCCTGGGAGGCCTCCACGTCCCAGTGCAGCCACTCTGGGACACCACACATGGGCAGCACTCTGCCCTTGGCGCTGGAGCCAACTCACCGGGCCAGCTTCACAGGCCTTGTGGGTAAGGTCATCCAGGCTCTGGTTCTGCAGCTTCTCGGTGATGAGCGTGACCATGGTCAGCGCCCTCCCTCCGCCCACCACGGAGTGCTGCCGTTCTGAGACATCGGACCTCGGGAGGCCCAGGCCACAGCTGGGTCGTGCTGAACCTCAGGGTTATGTCTCTGCTTCGCAGACACAACGGCCCATCTCCCCAGGCTCTTCAGAGCTGTGCCTGCAAATAGAAACGGCCACGTGACCAGAGTGGAACCACGGTGCTGAGGCTTCTCTCGTACACTCCTAACATCCCGCCCGACAAACACCTTCCCGCCTTCAAAACCACCTGGAACCTCCAGGAACAGGCTCTTCTGGGGAAGGATGAAGGGTCAGAGGCACACACAGCACCAGCCCCACTGAGACCCTTTCCTACAGCTGCAGGAAAGGCCACCCAACCTGCTCCAAGGAAGGAGGGAAGGACGGCAGCAGTGGGAGCCAGGCCTCCAGGTGGCCAGCAGGGTTCCACACCAGATCTGCCTCCCCAGCCCTGGCCCCTGAAGCGTGGGCCCCTCTGGGGAGAACAGGGTGGCACACCAGTCCTGCAAGAAGGGGGTCTGCAAGTCCTGAGCTCTGGCCCTGGGGTGGCCAGCTCCCCCAAAGGGTAAGATGTCCCCATCCAGCAAGAGGTCCAGCGTGCCCCCAGGACGCCACTCACACAAGGCTTTAGACTGCTCTGGGCCCAGTGGTGAGTGGGAGCTGCCACTAGGGGCCAGCAACCAAGGAAGCAAGAGGCCACACAGATGGCGGGGAGCAAAGTGGCAAACCTGGTGACAGCACCCTCTGAAAGGACCAAGAGAACAAAAGAGGCTTTGGAAGCTGAACAGGCCTCCTGAGCACACGTCCCCAAGCGCCACAGGACAGGACAGGGCAGCTACACACTGCAGCACCTGCGAGCGCTAGCCCCCCTTCCAGCCAGCCAGCTTGCCCAAGGTGAGTGTCCACCCCAACTCAGCAGGTGCGGCCAGCTGGCCCACAGTGTGGCGCCACTGCCACAGCAAGCAGGGCCACACTGGAGAGCAGGAACACCCGACCGCAGCCATGCGCGGAGAGACCAGGAAAGCCCAGGAGAACCCCCGTACCTCCAAGACGCTGCCAAGACTTAGCACTCACTTCCCACACTTAGGAAACACGCCCTCTAAACAGAATCCACCAACACTTCCCCTGGGTGACTCTGAAAATGAGGCCCAAAGCTGGCATCTGCCTGGATGGGGCAGCCAGGGCCCTCCATAAGCAGGAAGCAGGACCAAGTGTCACCATCAACACTGCACCTGAGACCCAGCAGGTGCCACAGGCCTGACCCGGGGACCAGGAGGCCTGGCCCAGACAGGACTGAGTCCTCCCCACACACAGGGGCTACTCCAGGTGGGGGTACCCAAGCAGCTGGAACGCGGCTCCCGTATAGCTCGTCTGCTTTGGGATCACACCCCTGTTGCTTCAGCACCTGGTGTGCCTGGCACTGACAGCCCCCACCGACCTGGGCAGAGCTCTGGCCTGCACCAGGGATGTGAGCCAAGACAGGTCCAGAGGGTCTGTGGTTTTCAAACAAGGAGGTTGAGTCAGCGCCAGGCTTGCTGTGGGACCAGCACTGGTCTGGCTGCCCATCCTCGCTGCACCAGAGCTCACCTCAGCCCCAACTTCTGAGTCACACCCTCGTAGGACAGGGCTTTGCAGGGTCCACCCTCAGCTAGATGGGTGTCAAGCAGGACACTCCTTAATTGTCCCAATCCCAACATCCACCAGTTCCCTTTCCCTCAGCCCAGGTGCCACCATCTGCTGAAACCACCTCCTCCTGCTGAAACCTCCTGGGTAGACAAAATACACACGTCAACCCCCAAGAGGCCGCAGTAGCACAATTCAACTTGAAAAAAAATCATAACATAATGAGTAGTTAGTTATTTTAAAAACAGCCACAACCAGGTGTGGTAGCTACGCCTGTAATCTCAGAAACTCAGGAGACTGAGACAGGAGGATCCCAAGTCCAAGGCCAGCCTGGGCAACTTAGTGAGACCCTGTCTCAAAACAAAAATAAGAAGGGCTGGAGATGTAGCTCAGTGGTAGAGCCCCTGTCTATCATGTGGAGACCCTGGGTTCCCAGTTCAAGGAGAGAGGAAGCAACAGACTCCATGGTCCTGGAGCACTGGAGGAGCACTGCAGGAGCACTGGAGGAGCACTGGAGGAGCACTGGAGGAGCAGGTGAAGCTGGGCTGATGCAGGTTTGGGGGCAGCTGGCAGATGGGACAGGAGTGGGTCTGTTTCAGACCGAAAGTCTGAAACCCCATAAACTCACCCTCTGACACACATACCAACACAGGTTTCAGGCAAGAGCCATCAGTGGAGGGCTGGCGTGCAGCTCAGGGGTAGCCTGCCTGCTGGGCATGTGCGCGGCCCGGTTCGATCCCAGCACTGCAAAACAGAAAGAAAGGGACCATCACCAGCTGAGTGCTAAACTCCACAGGGACGGTGTGAGAGGATCTGAACTCACACTGTGTGCAATCATCTCCCCACCAGACATTCATTAGTTACAAAGGAAAATAACCCACAGGGGACCTCCTAAGCCACAGGATCAAATGACCACAACAAGAGGCAGGACACATGGACACCGTGCCTTCTGAGGGGACCCTGGGGAGGACACGGCCCACAGCAGGGCTCCTACTGAAGATACAGAACCTCAGTCTAATCAGACACACCCAGGGGGCAAACTGCAAAACAACTGGCCAGCACCATCAGAAGTGTCACGCAGGCCAGAGCAAGACCAGTAAGGCCAGGAGGGCACCCAACACAACGCCGACCATTGCTGAGGCCTCCCAGCACAGCAGGAGGACGCCAACTGAGGAGGAGACTGGGAGACTGACTCGGCCCCGCTGGACGGCAGTCCTGCACCCCTCAGCATCACTTTCCTGATGGATGTCAGTCTCTGCCCTGTAGCAGTGGGAGATGTGGACCTGCGCGGAAGGTCTCCACACCCCTCAACAAGGACATCTAACGCTGGTGGAACTGCATCCTGTCAACACTACGAGCTCAGGAGGGGCCTGCACTGCTCGGCAGGGCAGAATGGGGGAAGGCCGTGGTGGTGGACCCCTGCCAGCAGAGGAGAAAGCAGCTCCGCATACCCTTCCCACCTGGAAGCCCAGCAGGGGCTGTCAGTGCCCAGACCCCAGCACAGCAGGAAGATGCCAACTGGGGAGAAGACTGGGTGTTTCCAGGGCTGCCACCACAAAGCACCACACTGAGGGGCTTCCACAAGCCAGAGTCAGAGAGCCCTCCTTGGAGGTACAGAGGAACAGCTGGGCCCTGCAGCTCCGGGTCCAGTGGCTCACAGGGAGCCTTGAGCTTCTTGGCGGCATCAGCATCTCTGCCTCTCCATAGGTCCTCGCCTGCCAGGTGAGCAGCTTCTCCCAAGGCTCTGCAGCTTCAGAGGACTGAACGATCCTAATCCAGTGAGGCCTCCTCTTAACCTATCTAGGTCACATCTTCAAAGTAAGGTCACATTCAGAGATGTGGGGGAGGTGTCAGGACTTGAATACAGCTGGGAGGCACTATTCAACCCACAGTGCCAGGCCCGTCTGCCCTCTAAGAAACTGACCGTGATGCCAGGACACAGCCACTAGGCTACAGCATGCCCATCCTCCAGGTAGGCTCTGCCCCTCCACAGGAGCCTAGGTGGGGTTTTGGGATGAAGCTGGTCAGGATCAGAGGAAGCACAAGTCTAGGCAGGAAAGGCCAGAGAAGCACAAAACAATGAAATGGCAGTAAGGAGGAAACCAACCAGCCACCTTCAGGAAAGAGGTGGCAGAGAGGAGGGCCACTGGCCTCCACCAGAGGCAAGCAGCAGCCTGTTATGGGCAACCTAAGAAGCCCCTTGGAAGATGACATGGAGACCGAAAGCTGAGCCAGCGGCCCCAAGAGGGAGACAGAGGCTGGCCCTGGCAGGAAGATCCCCCAGATGCAGAGATGGATGTACAGCAGCGGTGGCAAAGTGGGGTACCTGGCTCAGGTGACAGAACTGACCAGCCCTGCCCACAGGAGGGTGGGACATGGCCAAGGACAGTGCTCTGGAAGGAACTGGGAAAGGACACAAGCCAGACACCTCAGGAGGGACAGTGGGCCCCATGGTCTGCCCCTCCCAGGGGCCAATGCCCACTGGAGCCCATTCCCACTCCAACTGTCACCAAGCCAGCTCCCAACAGCTCTGCCCTCCTTGCACAGGAGCCAGTGTCAGCTGACCCCTTGGCCCTGGCCCTTCCCTGCCACGCTTTCCCACTCTACCCTGGAGAATGCTGGGCCAAGCTGGTCCTCAGGTCCCTGCAGCAACGCCAGTGAAAGAGGGCTCCCACGTTCTGCCCCCAGAGCCACACTCCCAGGTCTCTAGGACAGAGGACAAAACCCTGGCCCTGGCCCCAAGCCCTTGGCCTTCCCTACCCTCCTTCTTCCGTCACCCTACATTGTGGCTGCACAGCCCCCATCCTCTGCCCAAGCATCACAGGCGGGGCAGGGGCTCCACAGAGGCAATGAGAAGAGCCCCCAACTCGGCACCGACCCAGATGCTCACCCTCTACCTAGACAGAGACAGAACTCCCGCTGGGCTCTGCACTCACTTCCTGGGGACCCACCCTCCACATCAGCACCAAAGTGGGTTCTTTTTTTTTTTTTTTTAAATCTTCATTCAGGTCTACTAGATGGAGTCAGAGCATTGGCCAAGCCATGAGTCAGTATCCTGTGGCTGTCCTAAACAAGCCCCACAAAATGCACAGCTCCAATGGCCCTCCAGTGGCCCTGGGGCATGTTCAAGGGCCTCTCCCTAATAGCAGCCTCACTCCCACCGGCACCATGCATCCCATCTGTGTCCACCAGTTCTTTGGGATTAGGGCCACCCCACTCCAGCATGACCTCACTGATTACATGGTCCACCACCCTGCTTCCAAATAAGGTCACATTCTGAGGTCCCGTGGATGAGGACTTCATGTGGACTTGGGTGAGATACCATCCAAGTCCATATCCTCTCCTCACAGCAGACACCCCAGAGGGTGCTCTCAGCCCCTCGGAGGTGTGCTTCCCTTCTTGCTCCACTTCCTCCCCCTCCCTGGGACAACCAGTGACTGACACTGACCAACTCACCTTGACCATGGACACGGCCTACACCAGCTCCTCCACCACACCTCCCAGGGGCTCAGTGAGTCATCTTCCACGTTACCCCCATGCAGAGCATGCTCAGTCAGCTGCCCAGCAGGCTGTCCCCTAATTAAAAATTCCCTCCTTTTTGTGGCGGGGGCGTGGGGGGGGGGGATCTGGAGATTGAACTCAGGGGCACTGGACCACTGAGCCACATCCCCAGCCCAATTTTGTATTTTATTTAGACACAGGGTCTCACTGAGTTGCTTAGCGCCTCACTTTTGCTAATGCTGGCTTTGAACTTTTGCAATCCTCCTGCTTTAGCCTCCTGAGCCACTGGGATTACAGGTGAGCACCACCGCGCCCAGCCCTCCTTTTCTCATATGCAAAGTTTCTGCCTAATACAATTATTTCCCCAAACTCCCCAACAGAATTATAAAGCTCCTAGGAACAAGTTTGGTTGAATAAAAGACATCAAGAGGGCTGGGGCGGTAGCTCAGTGTGCAGCACTTGCCTAGCATGTATGAGGCACTGGGTTTGATCCTTGGCAACACATAAAAATAAATAAAGGTCTTAACGCCCATCTACAACTAAAATATTAAAGAAAAAAAGAAGGAATAAAAGACATCAGGACCAAGAAAAAAAGAATAAAAGACATCAGGACCCTGCAGCCTTGGGCTTAGACCATAGGGCAGTGTCCTCCTACCTCTGACCTGGCCCCGTATCTTGCAGCTTCCTGGGAAGAGGTGCCCATGAAGCCCATGACTCTGCTCTCTTCCCATAGAGGCAGGAAGCCCACCCCTCCAACACCTTCTAGCTCTCAGGGTCTTCTCTCCCCAATGTTGGAAAACAGAACAACCTTGCAGATCTCAGGCGTGCTGGCTGCTGACCATGCCTCAACCCTCTCCAGTGCTGTCTCTGGACCGCTCCTGGACGTCCTCTCCAGACCACTGGCCTCTCCTCCGGGCCTCACCCCCTTTGCTGTGCTGCTGACCTGCCCGCAAGGCCTACCCTCAGAGAGCTCAGCAAGGATCTCACTAACTGGACTGACACGGGCAGCACGAGCCCAGGAGGCGCTAGGCCAGGAGAAATGCAGCTGGTTCCGGGCAGACACCAGACCCGGCAGCAAGGGTGCTGCCAGGGAGGCTCCCCCTGACCTACCAGGGTGAGACCCTGAGCAAGGGCCGCCCAAGGAGCTGCTCTAGAACCTCAGATCCCAGAACCACACGCGATAATAAGTGACTGTTACTGTCCCAAGCCACCAGTTTTGGAGGCAATTTATTATGCTGCCAGGTAACTAAAACAGTATGCTTACTCCAGAGAAAGGGGCCAAATGCCACCTCGCTGCTAGACTGATTAGTCACCACACTGGCACCAGGACTGGGGAGAAGGTAGCAATGGTGTCCCTCTCTCAGCACAGCCAAGCAAGTGAACCTCCCACGGCCACTGAAATCATCAACTGTTGCTGTTTGGTGGCTGCTGACCAGCTCAGAGCTGTCTCTTCTTTGAAAGAGAGCGTATGCAGATGCCATGCTCTGGGTCCTAGGAAGCCCGGGACACATTCTTGTTCTGATGCCACACAGCTGGTGCTACTAATAAGCTGCACAAGAACTCGGAAGTCTTTCTGAAAAGCCCTTTCAAAACAGGACACAACAAAACGAGAAAGGGAATAAAATGCACCTGTCCTAACCAATCAATCTCTTGGTTTTTGGTGCCAGGGATTGAATCCAGAAGCATCTAACCACTGAGCCACATCCCCAGGCCTTTTGAGACAGGGTCTCACTAAATTGCTTAGGGCCTCACTAAGTTGCTAAGGCTGGCTTTGAATTCATGATCCTCCTGCCTCAGCCTCCTGAGCCACTGGGATCACAGGTGTCTGCCACCACACCCAATTGTCTCAATATCTTGCTAACAGTAAAACCCACAACTATTTGTTTGGAAGTAGGATCTTAGTTTAAAAGAACTTGGGAAGGGCTAGGCATATAGCTTAGTTGTAGAGCACCTACCTAACATGTGCAAGGCCCTGGGTTCCATCGCAGGTACCACAAAAAAATAATATCGTTATTATGGAGCAAAAAGTACATGAGAATGAGAGTCAGTTGGTGTAACCCAACAAATCAACAGACTAACATAGAAAACTCATGTCATCACATCAGTAGATACTAGAGAAAGCATCTGACAAAATCCACCAGCACCCATTCATGATAAAAACTCACGAGGCGGACGCGGTGGCGCACGCCTGTAATCCCAGCAGCTCAGGAGACTGAGGCAGGAGTATCCCAAGTTCAAAGCCAGCCTCAGCAACATCGAGGCGCTAAGCAACTCGTGAGACTGCTTTAAATAAAATACAAAATAGGGCTGGGGATGTGGCTCAGTGGTCAAGTGCCCCTGAGTACCCGGTACCAAAAAACTCAGTAGATACGAAGAAAGGGTACAACTTGAACGTGTCCCCTCCAAACCTCAGGCCTTGCCAAGGTAACAGTTCTAAGAGTGGGGCAGTGGGAGGTGATGGGCCACAAGGGTACCTCCCTCCTGGAGGGCACTGCCACAGAACCAGACTGAGAAAGTAAACAGCTATCCTTGCAAACCACCTAGTGTGACATGAAGTGACACGACGTGTACACACGTGCTCCTGGCCCCGGCTCCGACTGGGTTAGTGCTGGGTACCACCAGCCTCAGGAGCAGGCTCAGGCCTCAGAGAGCAGTCCTGTTCCCGGCCTTCTCCCACCTTCTCTTCCCCTAATTTCTTTTACCCAGGTCAGGTCACAGAAATCTCATCTTAAGTTCTCATCAAACACCACCTGTCTGACAAGACCCCCATGAGAAGTGTCCTGCCCCTGCCCTCCAGGAAGGCATGCCCAAGAATCTGGTCAGAGGCCTTGCTGGGCTTGCCCACCCAGTCTGTCAGCCTATATGTCCAATCACACCATGCTGGGTCACACCATGCAAGGACAATGACTCCATAAACACCCTGAAGGACAGGGCCCAGGAAGTTTCTGAATAGGGAACCCTCACAGGAAGGTGAACAGAAGTCACCCGTGTGCTGGGAGGGTGGCAACCCAGCTCCAGAGCCCTGCCCGCTGCACTGAGGACCCCTCTAGGCTTTGCCCTCTGCACCTCTCCACCTCGATGCTCATTTGTATTCTTTAAAACACCCTCTCTGTGCAGGTGCAGTGATGCACACACGGTGACCTGGGGGGCTGAGGCAGGAGAATCTCAAGTTCCAGGCTAGCCTCAGCAACCTAGCGAGGCCCTGTCTCAAAATAAAAAGTAAAAGGGCTGGGGATGTGGCTCAAGTGCTCCTGAGTTATGGTTAATCAAACCGGAGGAGGGGGCTGTGGGAAGGTCAATTTACAGCTGGTCAGTCAGAAGTTCCAGAGGCCCAGAACTGCAGCTGGGGCAAAATGGGTGTAGTCTGGGGACCTGATGTGTCTCCAGTCAGGTGGTGTCAGAGCTGACCTGACCCTGCTGCTTCTTCTGCAGACTGATGGCTCACTTGCTGGTGGGGAGTAAGCTCCCACCTCCAGAGGCCAGAGAAAGCTTCAATGTTGGATGTCATGGTAGGAGAGCAGAGAAGCTTGCTTCTCTAAAACACACCCAGCGCCAGGTATTCTAACAAAAACGGACTAAAAAGAGAACTTTCTCAACTTGATGAAGACCATCTATAAAAACCGACAGCAGCACATGCATTAGCAAGAAACGCGAAGCTTCCCCACGAAAACCAGGAACGAGGCAAGGATGCCCCTCACTGCTGCTTCTCAAGAGCCCCCTCCAGAGCCCAGCTGATGCAGTGGGAGAGGAAGGGACGAAAGGTCTACAGCCTGGGGAGCAAGAAACAGAACTATGCTGTTCTCAGCAGGAGACGGAGGAAGAATCCTTCTGCAGCAGATCTGAAGGGCCTGACGACTACCTCTGGAACACTGAGCCGTTGAGATAAGACTGCAGCAGTCAGCACACACGCGTCACCACGTTCCTCTGCACCAGCAATGAACAAGTAGAATCTGAAATTAAAAACACACCACCATTTACATTTGCACCCAAAAAAATGACTAAGGAACAAATCTAACAAAATATGTACAAGCTCTATACCAAGGAAACCACAAAACTGATGAAAGAAATCAAACCCTAAATCCATGGAAGAGCCCTCGTCTGTGCAGAGGAAAGGCTCAACACTCAAAGCACCATCTCCTCCCAACGGGACATACACATTCAGTACAGTCCCAAACTTCTTACCTACGAAGTCACCACACCAGATGCCAAAGACTGCATGGCTTGTCAACAGCAGAGATGCATTACTCACCATTCCGGCAGGTTTGGAGATTAGTGAGGGCCTACTTTCTGGTTCACAGGTGACCATGTGTCCACACATGATACAAGGGCAAGGAAGAACCATAATCTCTTTTCTAAGGACACTAATCCCATTCCAGAGAGATCTGCCCTCACAATCTAAGAACCTCCCACAGACTCCACCTCCAAATACCATTGCATCATGGAGTAGCTTTCAGCACAGGACTTTTGAGTGGACATAACAGTCTGTTTCTCTCATCAGTGGAAGCTGGAGCAAAATAAGGGAAAGGAAATGGGGAATGAACTACCACAAAGATAGGGGAAGGATCACAAGAGTAGGAGATGGAGGGAGAAGGGACGGGAAAGGCAAGAAAATGTGGAACGAATTTAACAAAATCATGTCATATGCATATATAAATATACCACAAGTAGTTTCGCCTTTATTTATATATAGACAGTACCAATCAAAAATAAATAGCCAGGCACAGTGGCGCATGCCTGTAATTCCAGCAGCTCAGGAGGCTGAGGCAGTAGGAACACAAGTTCAAAGCCAGCCCCAGCAACTTAGCCAGGCCCTGTCTCAAAGTGAAAAACAGAAAGGCTAGGGGGTTAGCTCAGTGATAGAGCACCCCTGGTTCAATCCCCAGTATAAAGGGAAAAAAAGAAAAAACACACAACCCTGAGGTACCACTGCACACCTATTAGAATGGCCAAAACCCAGAACTTGGACACCAAATCCTGAGGAGGACGGGGAGCAATGGCACTCTTTC